AACTCACAGTTGTCTTTAAGTCGCAGCGGTGACGGCAGCTTCTAGCTTCGCTTATAGCGAAGACGTCCTGGATCGCGGAGAATCCCGAGGCTCCGGAGGAGTTCTCACCTACGTCGTCCACAAGGGACGACTCGGGGACTCAACTCCTACCTCGGGCAGCTCACCTTTCCCCCTATGCCCAGGGGAAAGGTATCAAGCCATTTGACAGCTGATGCAAGCTGTCAAAACGGCTTTTACGCGGAAACAGGCGGGAGCAGCGAACAGCTGCATCCAGCGAAGGCGCCTGCCACCGGAAGTCCATCAAATTATTCCAGAATCTTAACTCAGTATTCTCTGCTCTGTTGTTTCTTCCTTCACTCCTCCTCTCACTTAATATCAACCCAATTCTTACCCTTAATCAAGGCAGCTAGCCCAACTCCATCTAGTTTTAGTCATTTTCTATTTTTGTGCTAGAAGTGGGCAGGAGCAAAAATGTATGTGAGACGACTAGCTGATACAGACAGATGTGGGATCAATTACTTTTTATTTTCATTTACTTAAAACTATTATCCTGGCCCTGCCCATTTTGGAATGTGACTTCTGATATACATACACATATAAATATATGTCATTCACTGACAGAACAAGGTAGGAATCTCCCAGGTTAATTTAATTTGGCAAGTAGGCACTGCATAGGACTTTTTAATCTATGTGTATCATTTTCTTTCCTTCTGTTTTTCTTGAGAGGGATTCTTAAGTTCAGGGTCATCTTCCTTTTCATTAAATAAAGCACAGAACTCTGGATTCTGGGGAGGCCTTTTCAGGAATAGATGAACATGCTTCAAGATGCAAGTATGTATTTGCTACAGCCCAAATTCACCTAAACAACTGAAAAAGATCCCCAGAAAAAGATAAGATGGTATCTTAAATACTTTGGTACATAACATATTCCAAGAGGCATTCAAACTATTTGAAGGATACAGGTATGTTCTCAATCTAATATTAAGTTTGTTACAGCAAATTTCAAGGGCTACAACATAGCTTTCCTTATAAAAGATTATTTTTATTCAGTGTATGGCACCTACAGAGGTCATGCAATCACCACTATACAAATATATAAAAGGAAGGAGTCTGTGCAGATTTTACATTAAGCCAGCACGGTCAAAGACATTTCTGTGATCAAGTGACCAGCATGACATCACAGAGTGCTGTTACTTTCCCACCATAGTGGTACCTATTCATCTACTCGCATTTGCATGCTTTCCAACTGCTAGGTTGGCAGGAGCTGGAGTGAGGATGGAGCTCACCCCATCACGTGGCATTCAGGTCTCAAACCTGGGCTGACTGCTGAGCCATCGCACTGCATATATGTATGCATACACAAACATACACACACACACACTATTAGATAAAATATTAAATTAAGATGATAATAAATTCCACATCACTGGGACAATCTGTGCTAGATATAATGGAGAAAATAACATAAATCTTACAGCTTTTGACAATCATGCATTCTAATATATGATCTGACTAACCTCACTATTAGTTTTATATCACTTGTGCTTTAACTATTTCCATTTTGAGCTTCTCAAAAAATTGTGATTATCACTTCAGTTATCTCCAACCAATTTCCCAGATGAGAACCAAACGAATAGGAAATTACATACCTTTTTTGGCTTCACCCAGGCTAAACAGCAAGGGATAACTTGGGCAGGAAGTTTTGCATAGCAATGTCTATTGGAAGAATGACATAATAGGCTAATTCAGATTTATCAACAAAATATAATTTGATGTTGTTCTCCAATCCTTTTATATGCTTTTGATTCATATATCACTTTAAGCAATAAGCCATATTTCGCACACCATTATGCCTTCATGCATACACTGTACTAAGCCAAAACCCAAAAACTTCACTATAGCTTGGTTCAGTGTGTGATTCCACCACTGACTACATATGCACATCACATTACGGTATACTCTGCTGAAAGGGTCAGAGCACAGTTTAACAGGTTGGCAAAACAATCAAAGCTTGCAAAGCCAATTTTTTGTTTTCTTCCTTTTTAAAAAACGTTTATATTGCCTTACACCTCTGTGAACTGGTTAGATGCTGGGGAAAGGTAGAAAAACAAACAGCAATTCAGAAAACCACAAACAAATAATTCCTTTCCATTCACATATCACACTAAGTAAAAGATGCAATTGATGAATAAATCACCACCACGTTTCCGCCTGATGTTCACTACTCTGAAATGAAGCACACTTAATTTGCTTCTGTTTTCAGAGCATGCAAAGCCAAAACAAGCCAAGGTCGGAAGGTTGAGAGTCCAATCCTAGGCAGCAGCAGATGTTTCTTTCAGGACACAAAAAGAAAATATCTGCTGCAAACTCCATGTAGGTGTCAGGAAGGGCATCTGGCCAGTAAATGCTCAGCTCCATTCAGTTGCCCCAACTTTACTCTGAATTAAGGGATTACGGAGTCATAATGATCAGAAAGTGTGATCAGTGTAAAAGTTGTTGTATATCTGATCTTGGCACAAAAGGGAGAAGGCAATGGCAAGGATCTTAATTTGTCAGTCAGGGCAATGACCGCCAGATTAGTGCCCAAATCTCGATCAACATTAAGTCTAAATTATAGCATGTGATAATGGGGTAATGAAAGACTTAATATACATCTTTAAAGACAGTTTACTTACTTGAGAAACCTCAGTGAAGATTTTTGAGCTATTGTTATATTTCCAAAGTCTGGGTAAAACACTTCAACTTCTTGGTCATTAAGAAGTCGATGAATGATAACTCGGTACCACCATTTGTCTTTAGAATTCTTTACACAACAAAGCTGGCCGGGACGGATGAAGGCTTCAGGTATGACATAACGATTAGTTACATATTTACTAGAATAGCATCGTCTGAAAGAGAAGATTCAAATGTATCACCACTGTAGCTTCCTATATATCTGGGGGAGTCTGGCAGTACCTTTTCAGTTTAACAAATGTTATTACAAGTTCTGCAGCCTGAAAAGGTGCTATCAGACTCCTGTTTTTTTGGCTACCATACACTAATACAACTTTCCTCCCACAACATTATAAACATGGATCAGTACTGAACTGCTCTGGATTGAATTCAATGGGACTTCATGTAAACAGAAATTGGACTGGCAAAAAATACCCAGTTTTAAAAATCCTATTTTTTTAACCAATGTCAATTTTTTTAAAAAAAATTAAACACGTCATTTGGGAAAAGTTCAGCTTAGAAACACCAGAACAAAGACATCCTTCATTTTCATGAGCTACCTCTCTCCTGTCTTGAGAAAAGCTGAAATTCCCACTGGTAGGAACGCCTTCCTCTTTCCTGAAGAATACATATACCTTATACTGCTCATTCATCTTCTCTGATGGCTTTAAGGAGTGACTCTGCTGTTCCCACATAGTGGAGCACATTTTTTTTCCTAGTCCCAGAACAAACCCTGAGATGAGCACTAAGAAGCAGTTGGAGTATCAATCTTTGAACTCCCAACTGGCCATCTTAAGGAACCTCCCCATATCTCATATCATGATATATTAATAACAGGCTAAATTATCTAGTACTGTTTTAGCAAGTTTTTCTTCAAGCCTCCAAAAATGTTTTCTATCTAATCTTCTTTGCTATTTTTTTTATGGCAATGGTTACAAGCAAGTTGTGGAAACCTGAATTATTGAAAGATTATGACAATGTTTAAGTTCTTCCCCACAATTTTTCAAACAAATATGACAATTATAAAATGAAATGTTGAAAGTACGCACTTTGAAATGTGCATGGATAAACCATCTTGAGAGCAGTTGCACTGCAAGTGGTTGAGAGTTGTGGATTACAGGCATCCATACACACACAAAAAAAACCCCAAAGTGAATTGTCACTCTCCCTTTAATTTTAGTAAAGTTTGTGCAAAAGCAGATGTCTCTAGAACTCTCAAAAACTGGCCAAATATATCTTCACCTCATCTCAATCATGATATTTTCTAGCTCATCAGAAGTTTCTCCACTGTAGATCCGGATATGGAATTGTGAAGGAGACACAATGTCCTCCACAAATAATCCAACAAAAGCATTGTTGTCAAGCTTAGGGAGACTATAAAGGCTTTCATCTTGAACAGCATCTGGTGGTACTTCTTCTTCCATTATTTCCTGTATAATGTTATCTTTCTCTATGTCTAGGTGCTGCAAATGCAAGGAAAGAAAGAATCACTTTCACATAAAACGCAGGACTAATGATCATGGCTGAAAAAAAACAATGCAAAGAAACAGAAAAGCTATTCTTTCAAGATTTTCATTGTGATGTTTGAGCTTTGTGATCTTTGTGATGTTTCAGCTCTTTATATTTGAATTTTGTGTCTGACCACTCTCCATTATACTACAATACACATATGCACAGACATTTGAATTGAATACCTTATTTGGCCAAGTATGATTAGACACACAAGGAATTTGTCTCCAGTGCAATAGTGTGTTGCTTGCCTTATTTTGTAACTTGGATATCATTTGCAAAAAGGTATCCCTACAGTCTCTCCATCACCCACATCATACAGTATTTTCCACCTTCATTTTATATATCATTTAATAAATAGAAAGAACTGCACAAAACAGCATGAACAAATTTAAAAATCTGCATTAAATCAGTGGAAGAATACATATCTTGAAAGGTATGAGAATCTTAATATCTAAGAACTCTTCACACCAACATTACCCTAACATTTTTTTCAAGGAAACAATAGAATTAATTATTGCTTACACATAGGTGCTAGTCAATTTCAAGTACTCTTAAATGAAACTTTTTTCCCCACTTTTCATTCAAAGTTTAGGCTCAATTTTGGCCATTTCCTGAAATAATTTTTGCCAGGAAAATAATGTGGGAACTCAGCCTCATTGATTTGTCCCCTCTTCTCTGGAATACATTAGTATACTTTGGAGAATCCATCAGAGAAGTTGGGCAGTCAGAATTTTTCACTGATTCCACCGTTTCAATTGTAAATGCAAGAAGGGATGCTGGGACAAGAGGGACATTGCTGTTCAATTTTTTCCAAGAGATACGTTTTGGGATCTTGGAAGTATTGAATTGATTTGGAGTTAAATTATAATTAGTCTAACAACCAATTCTATTCATTTTTATCTAATTTAATTACTGAGTAAACTAAATTAGTAATGGATTTTATGAGATCAAAAAGGCTATTCAACATGGATAAGGTTAAGGACCTTGTAACAGTTGGTTGTCCATATTATTAAAGCTCTATCTGTTATAGATAAAATGTGTTCTCCCTGAAGGATCAGATTCACACTCTGGTAATGTTCATGGTCCATTTTTGTCCCTTAGAAAACAAGTAGCTTCTGTAAGCTATACTGTAGTACCGGTATTTTTCCCAGCTAAAAACACCTAATCTATGATATACACACACAAACATCTCAGGACAGATTACAGGCTGGGTTCAGCTAATCATGTCTTTATAGATTCTCATTCGGACTACACATGGTCTTTGGAAGTGCATTAGTAATGTCATATTATTAAAAATATGGTTGAGACTACTAAATAGAATTGAAAAATATGAATATGCAATAGCTCCCATTCCATTTTGGAACCAATTTAGCATACTTCTTTTCCTCGTTCTGGGGCTTCATCTCTAGTACAGAGTACTGAAAGAGTACCTCTCTGTACAAGTGAATACTAGACCTTGAGTTTTTCTTTAGAGGCCCCACTGAGTGGCACTGGGTACAGCAACTGATATTTTAAGTGGGGGTGCTCACATAGTAAATACCTTCCCAGGAATTTATCTGGTAACACCCCCCTCCCCCGGTCATTGTCACTTTGAAGTCAGGCAAAAAAATGTTATTTTCTTAGCCTTTCCAGCTCTTGGATTTTATTTCTGTTATTACTCTGTGCAACTTTGGTTTTATTACACTTATTTAAAGTTAAATGCTCTTTTACTACATAAATATATATTATTATAATATCATCATACCGGCGTTACCATCTTTGTTACTACATTGAACTTAGTCTCCAGTTTCTTAGAATCCTCAGAAGGGGAATCCCAAGTGGGCAGTTTGTGCTCTTCAGAAGCCTCCTGGTGTGCTAATAAACTAGACTGAGAAATCTTAACATTTGTTTGTTCATCTGTAGGAACAATATAGATTTATATCAGAACACACCGAAATTTTCATTCAAAAATAAGAAAAATTTTGTTCTTAGGAATGCTGTGATTCTGTATGTTATAAATTGTACATTTA